GAGGCTCGGGTCATAGTTCAGACGCCAGGTCCAGTAGGTGAGACTCACCTCTCTGGCACAAAGGGTCTAAAAACTCTTGTAAACCATTTGGAATGTTCCTGACAACATCGCAAGAGTAGCCGTCTTCTGGCAAAAGAAAAGGCAGCTGCAGATCGGGGTCCTCTTCGAGCTGCACCTCCCTCCCATCACTGCGCGCCAACTCATCAGCCGTGTTTTCAGCCACGGCCACCACGTTTTCGATCAGGTCCTGGTCAGAACATAGACGCACAGTGAGAACGGATGCCAACGGACTGGCACTCAGATCTCCTCGTGCACAGTGTGGCCACACACACGCAGGCAGGCTGCGAGCGGGAACAGATTTCTCAGTGTGTTAACGTCACTTCGCAGAGCAACGGATCACCTGCGAAGTACACACTTCAAACATATGAACCAAGACAGTCATAATTAATCTCATGTCATCTGCAGCCTTAAAAAGAAATTATTCAATCACAAGAAAATGGTTTCCCTTTTCCAAAGCAGTCATTTTTCTCCCTGCAATTTTTTAACATCCAGGTGCTAATAATCCTATTTTTGTAGAATTTTTAATGACAGAAAAAGCTCACAGTGGAAAATGTAAAAAAAATCGGGACAAAAATACCTATTCCCAGCTAATCGGAAAGCTCCCACACCTTCACTGTAAAGCTCGAGGAAGTGAACACGGCACCTCAACTGCTCCCGGTTCAAGGGATGGAGAAGCAGCCCCTCGTCACCGTCTCCCTCCCTGGGTCAGCTTCCCAGGCTTCGCCCACCACAACCCCCACCTGTCTGCTCGTGAAACCCGTACAGACGGAAGCTCTATTTACTTCGTGCCTGAATTCTGTGCACAAGGCGCAGTGCGTGTCATCTGCCGTGCAAATTCACGCCTCGGCGGCGAAAAGACCTTCTACACGCTGTTCTGTCAGTGGGCGTTTGCTGGTTTCTGATCCTGGGCTACTCCGTACACGTCTTTTGTTGGCACCAAGTCAGGACTAGAGGTCAACCCATGCACCTCATGCACTTCCCTCGTCAGGACTCCTGCCTCGAGCGGACTTTATCCGCGGATGGCGACAAACAGTTGCAGCCTTCCTCGCCCTCCACACAGCAGCTGTAGCCCACGCCGTGGACTAGGCCGCTCACCCTCCACTCCTCCTCTCGAGAGGCATGATGCCAAACCTCGATTCCCACCAGTCAGCTGCACCTGCCCAGGTCAGGGGGTCCCCTTGCCGCGCTGCTTGCTGTTGGCGGCACACGAGGATGGGCGGTGGATATGAGGGGGCACTCTGCCTGTGGCACATGGATGTCTGTGGCCGTGGCAGGAGCTCTCGGGCCTCTGAGCCTCAGGTCCCAGGGGAGAGCCTGGGAACCAGGGCAACTTAACTTCCTCCCCCCCCAGTCCTTCCAATGACTTCCCAAGAACCTAATTCCCTGAATTAAATCCCTTTCTACCTAAAATGCTTGTGTATTTTGTACTTCTTGTACCGAATCCAAACTCAAATATCAACAAGAAAAATGATCTTATGAGATGAGATTAAGTAGCTTATTTATTAAAGAAATAAAGTAATTATAAACGTCGACTCTCCCTCACTTTTTTGAACCAAAAATTTCCCTATGCAAACATGTCTCATGCTGTGTGGGTAATGTGTGCCACTCACCGTGGGGATAAAAGGCTCATCGGGTGCACAGTGGTAATTCTGTAATAAGGCTTGAAGTTGCAGTGAATTTAACTTAAAGCAGGTACTGTTTATATTTGGAATGTCATCAGGTGCATATTTATCCATTGTAAGCAAAGTGGTTGCCTGTTCAAAAGAATAAGTAACAGGAGATATGATTCAAAAGTATTTCATAAATATTCCCCTTTATGTAACATTTAAAACTGTAATAACTTGCTAATTTGATTTTGAAATTCAGAATGTCTTTCAGGGAAACACACTTCTATTAACATTGAATTGAACTGAAAAAGCACTGTCTAGTGACGGTTTTCAGCCAGTTTCTTAATTTTACTAAAGTACAGACATTTATATTTTATATAAAAATGTAAATGAGATTCATTTATGTCCATAAGTCATTTTTAAAAATTCTTTTAGAAACTGTAAACATTTACATCATAACCATTCCGATTACCAATTACTGGGGTCTGAATAAAGTTTCATTGTAATGACTTGTTTATAGCCAGCTGATACAATCCAAGGAGGAGGATAGTAGCCTCTTTCTATACTAAATTACTTTAAAAGAGTTTAAGAAATTGAGAAAAAATGCAAAATTATACACTGTAATAATAATAAAAAAAAAATCTGTCCTAGGTTTGAGGCTGCAGATCTTATTTCCTTGACTGTAAAACCCCTGTGTCCCATGTGGGCTACATAGTGGCTCCCTGAGAACCGGCCGAGCCCTCAGCACACAGCTGTTGAGTGCTCCTCTGTCCCCTTCTCCTCCTGCCCTGGTCCTTTAGGATGTGAGGACTGCCGAGTGCTATGCTTAGACCCCTTTCTCTTTCTCTTCTGTGCATCCACTACGGGTTTTTGCTTTGTGGTCACTTGGCTCCGTATGCTAAAGACTGAAGTGTTACCCAGTTTTAAACTGGAATCCATCCATTCAGTATGGAGCTTCACAAAATACACCTACTGGTCTCAGAAAAGAACCCTTTAAGGGCACTTACTCTACTGCTTACCACCTGCTAAAGGCTCACCCGTGTCCCCTAAAATTCATACACAGAAGTCCCAACCCCGTGTACCACAGAACGCGACCTTACTTGGAGAAAGGGTCTTGACGGTAGTGAGCGAGGACAGCAGGTCTAACATGACTTGTGTCCGTATAAATAGTGGATGTGTGGAGACACACATGCCCACAGGGAGAACACCTGTGAAAATGAAGGCAGAGAACCACCCAGCCCACACCGTGACCTTGGACTTCCTGCCTCCTGGACTAGGAGACAACCGTCTGTCGCTGATGCATCGAGCTTGTGGAAGTCCGTCACAGCGACCCAGGCAAACCAACACGCCAGTGTTTCCTTAGCTGTGCACATGCAACACCCCAGAGGGGTACTGAACTGGCTGAATCCGAGTTCTGACCCCGGAAAGAATGAAAGCCACCGATGACGAAGTCCAGGGACGGTGGGGAGGTGAGACTCGGGAAGCCCACCTGCACTATCCGGCTGAGGTGACAATCAGCTGCCAGCTCCAAGCCCTGCTTCTCTGCCCACGCTTCCACGTGTCCCAGCTGCTGGCGGATAATCGCCCCCCAGTAGTGCGAGCACAGTCCCGACTCGGGATCGGTCACCAATCTGTTGAAGAGCCACATGTTGATGAAGTGGAAGAGCTGGGAGAAGAGCTGGATGGTCAGGGCAGCGTTGACTCGGCAGCGTCGCAGCAAAGACATGGCTCCCGTGAGCGTGTGCAGAACATCATCTGGTCAGAGACGCGGGATGAAAGCAAGAGTCTTTTGAACGAACAGTGAATTCAGAAAATGGCAGTTACGGTAAGAATGCCTACCGGGTCACTTTTGAGACACCGGTCTCTTCAGACAGGAGATGACAGTGAGGTGTGAAACCACACACGGCTGGTAACTACGCACACCGCAGCTCCCCCCAAGACACCTTCTGAAAAACCGTGACACACCAACCCAGAGCTGTTCTTGAAAGAGAACAGACAGCAGTTACGATTTACTGAAGAATACCAAAGCCAATAGGTTATCTCATTTATTTTGAAAATACCTCCTTCTTATGCATGTGAAATATTAAAATGAAGTTAAACAGAAGGAGGGAAGAAGGAAAGCCCAGAGAGAGAGAGAGAGAGAGAGAGAGAGAAGGAGAGACAGGGAGGGAGGAGAAAAGGGGCATCCTAACCTATTTTTGGTCTTTGTAGGCTGTTCTCTTCAGGGTCATCCAGAAAGGCTGGCATATAATTATTCAGTTCTGATTGAAGACAATGAACCAGGTATCTGAAAAAACGTAGGCAATTTTAATAACCTCAGCAGGACACACTGCTATTGTCAGACATGACATGCACAAGTGAAATAGTTTATACTGTTTAAAAATATTTTCCATTTACAATACAACAGTATTGTATTCCTGAAACACAGCTAATAAATTCAATTCCTTAAATCAACACATTTGGCACATAGTTATTCATGCTTCTCGCTATTCATCTTTAATTAGGGTAAATAAAAACCTTTAAAAAAAAATCTCTACAGAATAGTGCAATCTCCAGAAACGTGCTCCTTACTTAAACGCCATTTGAACCAAGTGTGCTAAAACGTCTTGGGCATCCAATGTGATTCGACTAAGATCTCGGTCCTGTTTAATGAAGTTGAGCAGCTCAGATGCATTGGCCATCCAGAAGGCAAGTGCCCCTGCAATATTCTTCTGTTTCTGTAGACAGAACACATTTCCATAAGCGATCCAAAGACAAACAAAAAGAATGAAAAAAAAAAAAAAGGAATGCTCTTGAAAAGCTGCTGGAGATAGACCAGTACCTTCCCATTATCACCAAGGTATTTAGCACAGATACCAGATATTTGCAAAGGAATTTGGATACATTCACAGCAATGGAACTGCAACATCTTCTTAGGATTCATGGACAGACACATGGATCCAGTTAGCTCCCATGTATGGAATCAGGGCCGAAAACAGAGATATCAAACCCTACAACACCCAATTGGAGATTGTGCATTATCTGGTAATCTGTGAAGTACACACGCGTCTATCCATGGTTACCCACAGCCACCCTGATACGCGTAGTCACTGGCTCGGATGCCGAGCAACTCGGTATCAAGTACTGATCTATCACATCATCTCCCGACCACATGTGCAGGCCAGGCAACTTCAGATGAGATCCAAAGAATAGGAACCAAGGATAAACAAGAAAGAGGAGAAACAGAACTTTTGTCATTTCATATCCACACTGAAGTGCATTAAGCAGAAATTATGAAATGCTGATAAAGGTTGCACAGTCAAAAAAGGATTTAGTACTGCATGTTTCAGTTGCTGAATGAGTGTTATGAACCGTCCAGTCCGGTTGCTGGAGTATTGTGTTTGACATGGAAGCAGCGCGAGAAACTCAGCTAAGCCGACATAGCCAGGACCAGTTCCCAGCAGCACGTCCTACCTGATCAACCTGGTCTACTTCCTGGAGAAAAACAGACGAAGGGAAATCAAGCAGAACGAGAGAAAGAAACTTGTAAACAATCATGATAGTTTAAATAAATCAAAACACTAACATGAAGGTACGACATGAAGGTACGACATTTAGTTATGTTATTCCCAAATTACATATTCATTCCTGGCTCTGAAGCAGCTTTGGAAGTACATGACATAAAGGACAAGTTCTACGTTCTTAACACTGGTGCAGTAAGGGAGGGAATTCCCAGAATTTATATAAAGGAATGTGACAATTAACACAGGAACACACTGATCTCTTTAAAAGATTTATAAATGAAGGACTTCTTAACGTCTTTTAATGGTGTCGTGTGTCTGACTACTTAAAGGTATATAAGATGAGTGTCTATCCTCTAGTTTAATAGGATGAAAGAGACAGAAAGACCAACAGAAACAATAAAAATAAAAGTTAAAAATTTTTTAATGTATAAAAAACAACTATACTAAAATGGAGTAAATCGGTTTTTGAAAGTAGGTTTTTACAAATTTAAGCATTTATTCATTACTACGATTCTTTCCTAAAACTTTAAGATTCCTCCAATCACATACTAACCCTGAATGTGTTTTAAAAGACCTGTTGTGATAATGATGATCTCACTGACTAGTTCAAATTCAATCAGAAAAAGTCTATCGGCAGTAGTCTGATGACAGGAGTTTCACAATCTGAAACAGGCTTTAGAAACGCAAACATGAGGGAAGACAGACAATGGCTCTGAACAAAAGGAAATCTGTTTCTTTATAAATTAGTAAGAGAGGAACACAAAAATGGAATCCAAATAAAATGACAATCCTTTTTAGCTGTTTCCTCACTTGGGTAAAAGAACTGTAAGCTCATGAGATTCATAGGCTAACCCCTCAAACATAAAAGAAACAGTTCTTGAAAAATTTGGCCTTTTTAAAACAATTCTGAAGGAATCAACAGATTAGTTTGCTCAAGCTACCCTCACAACAGGAGGAAAACAACCAAACCATCTAATCATGTTGCTTCATAATATGTAACTAGAGTTTTATATTTCGTGGCCGAATAACAGCACTGATAAATGGTTTGGAAAAACTTAAAATCTTTACATTTACTTTTAAGGACTTAAGATTAAATCTTCAAATTATCTGTGAGTTTGGAAAACTGCTATGCCAATTTTACCAACTACAGATGAAGAGTACTTAAAAGGAAACAAACCATACTACAAAAAGAATACTCTTAGTTCCTTAAGCTTTCCACAGTTTTATGAAAGATTTTCAACATTTCATCATCACTGAGAAATGTCGTGATGTCCATCACACCTAAATGAGTGCTATCAAAAATCCACATAATTACTACCAACATCATACACTCACACTAGAAAAGAGCATGCCTTTGTAACCATGAGAAGACTCTAAGGAGGCAGCTGCCAGGGACTGGTGGAGGGGTTATGAGGACAAACTGCTTCATGGGCACAGGTTTTACTTTAAAGTGATGGGAATGTTCTGGAACCACACGTGGTTGCTGCACAACAACACTGTGAATGTACGAAATGCTACTGAATGAGTCACTTTAAAATGGTTAATTTTACGTTAATGTGAAATTCACCTCAACATGTTACTGTTTTTGATTCTAAAAAAATCCCCACAAGTCTCGACACGTTCTCACAACCACTGCCATTTTAAGGATCTTTACCGTGATCATGACGTTCCCACATTCAGATTACCTTCCCGTATTCTAACATTTGTAGGAAGAAACAGAAAACAAGTTTACATTTCTTTTCAACTTTCAAAGCTAGGCCACTGTCCATGCTATTCATAGAACTTGCATTTCAGAGAAGACTGTGGAGGTCAAGTCCAACACACGACCAGGCGGGAACACGGAAGCCACTGGCTTCCTGGTGTGGGACAAGGGGCACACTTACTGAACTGGCTCTGCAGGCTGCGGCTTACCTGGATCACCCCCTCCATCATGCTCACCATCCTGTTGACTATTGCAATCACTTTGTGAGTACGCTCGGTAGGACTGACATCCGGTCTGTACTGGCAGGACAATACATACCGACATGCCATATATAATACATATGTAGGTGACAACTTAAAATGGACTGTAGAGCTATTAGTATAATTGATAATGGCAGATAAAAATGAATCTTCAGCTGTGAAAAGATTTCAAAAAAGAAGAAAAAGGAAAAAAAGAACAAAAAAAACCCATGAAAATCAGATGGAGGAAAATGGAACAAGAAATAATTCACTAACAATGGAATCTGAAGTTACTCACAACTTTCCCTGAATTCAATGCTTGCAGGCAATATCAGTTCAGGCCCAGGAGCATCCTGAGTTCTGAAAGAAAAAAGTGGCCATCTCTTAAAAACAGGTCATGTGGCTAACAACATCACTAACAATCTATGCGTATTTTGGCAACTGTTTTTACAGTCTCCATATGGTTCTTACGAATAATACACAGCCCAATGACTCCTGTTCACATGGAAACTGTTCAAATATTCAGACGAGCGTACTGAGAGTGATCATATCCGTACTCCACACAGAGCTCAGTTCCCTGAAGTATCTGCTTCCGTCCTGAGAACTGATCTGACCACGATTCTCTATTATTCATGAAGGTTTCGTGCGGAGTAGGGCGACCAGGCTGCCATGCACCTGCTACAGTGATGGCTCGAGTCACAGTGAAAGGCCACTGCTAGGAGACACGAGAAAAACTAAACCACCGTGGGCCTGAAACTGAGCTCTCACACATGACGAACAAGTTCCTGAGAGCCAGACACTGCCCTTGGCTTCTGATAGAGCTCAGAGAAGATCATCCCTGCAGGCCCCTTCAGTCCCTCCGTATTACCATTTCTCGATGCTCACAGGGAAGCCCGCCTTCAGAAGAAGTAATCCTACTCACACTTTTTCTTAAAGTCACATCAATTCCAGACACCTTTCATCATTTAGCCGAACACTACAAAAACAAGGCACTGCCGAGAAATATAAACCAAGGGCAACTAGTATTCGGGACGCTTCGAAGAATTAGCACTGTACTAATGTTTATGTATTTCCAGGTATTCTGGGTCAAAGTACCTCAAAGTTTAGGTACATTTCTAGTTCTATAAAAGAGTTCTCCAAACAGTGGATCACCCTGCCCCCACTGGTAGGGTGGAAGGTTCACTGTTCCGTGAAATTCTTCTTTCAGTTATAAATATATACATATGTAGGTATGTGTCCACTGGGGCACAATATACAACAGGATTCTGTGTTGTGTACTGTGGTCAAACAACATCTGAAAGCCATTAGTAAGCACAGAATTTCTAAAATGTGTAAAATAATTACAAATCCAACTGAGATCTCCTTACCTTAGATGTATACTGTTCTCGATGGATGGTGTTCAGTTTAACTACTCTTTCATGTAGACATGTGATTAGAATTTCAAGCAATTTAATCATTACTCTAAGCTACTTGGCTACTAGCTGTATTTTATGTGTAACATTTGTAAGTCACCCCCCACCCCAAACAAACTGGCAAGTAATTAGATTCCTAAAGAGTTTAAATCTTTACCATTTGGCTCAGCTTTTACAGATGACCAGGAAAAATTTTACAAAATATGTCTTCGAATAGATTAAGAAAATTAAAGTTGACAGCAAAAGCAAAGAAACATGCGTTGTGCCTTCCCACAAACTTAACTGGAAAGTAAAGAGCGGGGCTACAGTGACTTACTCCGGGATGAAAGAACTACTGAGGTAAATATGAGCTCAGACAAAACTGAGGTCAGTATTCAAACACAGCTTCACATCTGCTGGAAGGGCGAGTCAACAGCCTTATCGGTGCTTATGAATTTGTGAGTTAAATGACAGTCATTTTCAGCAGGAACACTGAAGTCTACCAATCCTGGATAAACGGTGACGAACCTGCCTGATTTCAGGGTTTAGAGTCACGGCTGTGACCGCTCATTCACTACATGGGCTCCTGTGACAACTTCTTTAAGAAAGGAGACGAGAGGGAGAAGAGCCCGTGATGGTCACAGACCAGTCACTGGTCCCCAGCAGCTCCCATCCCGCCACCCCACCTCCCCTGGCACTGAAGGAGCAACAAAGAGAAACACAGCAAGTTACCTCAAACTGTTTTAATCGTGAGAAGGAAAAAGAAAAGTCTTTCCATCAAATTATATGCTTCACAGTTTCTTATCCTGTCTATGATTAAACAATTTAGATTTAACTCAACAATTCAGGTGTAAAAGGCTCTTATAAACAATAGAATTTAAATGCCCAATTACGTTAACATGTCTCTCTTAACTCCTATATTTATAGACATCTAAAATTGCAGATAAGCAGTTACTTTCAATTTACTATCTATACAATAAACTGGATGAACCTTACCAATTGTTTCCTCAATTTAACACATCTGGTAAAAATAAGGAATTTAATCTCTCACCAAAAAAAAAAAAAGGGTCAGTGAGAACTTAAGGCACTCCATTATTCAAAAAGATGTCTTTCCTTGACTAACATCAGTATTTTTTTTTTTTTAAGATTGTATTTATTTATTTGACAGAGAGAGAGAGTGAGAGCAGGAACACAAGCAGGGGGAGTGGGAGAGGGAGAAGCAGGCTTCCCGCCGAGCAGGGAGCCCGACACAGGACTCGACCCCAGGACCCTGGGACCATGACCTGAGCCGAAGGCAGACGCTCAACGACTGAGCCACCCAGGCGCCCCTAAAATCAGTATTTTAAACATACTTATTAAGACAACTTAGATTTTTATGAATATACCAATTAAGTGAAGCACTGCTTACGCCCACATTGTATATGTGAAAAACAAAGACCAAAAATAGAAGAATCACCTGTTTCCATCACTGCTGTAGTACCAACAAAGTCGTACATACCTACAGCTCCAATAAAACCTGTAGTAAAACCTTTACTCACAGGATAAAATCAATCCGAACATACAATGAACCATCAGATGGCTATCTGACACTGTACTAACCTACTATATTTACTTACCAACTATATATATATAGTTTACACACTGATTAATTTTGCATGTCCTAAAAGAATTATCCTAATTGCTCTTTCCTCTCCTCCATTTGATTTATTCACTCATTCAAATATTTATGGGCTAAGAACTATGATACATTGCTCTCAATCACCTTATAAATAAATAGAGGCACTCTTTACGATGCTAGTTTACCATTTGGAGTATCTCATTCTAGAATACACCACCAAAAACAAGTACAGACACAGAAAGTAGACTTATTATTACATCTAAAAAAATGCACACAGCCAACAAAAATCTTGAATAATAACCAAAAGTGCCGGATAAAAACAAGGGAAAAACCCGAGATTCCCGTATCAGTCTACAAACTGAATTACTGTGATAAATGATATTAAAAACTTATAACACACAGCGCCCTCTACTGGAAGATGGAAAATTAAAGAACTACATCAGCTGCCTGTCACCAAATTGATACATGACCTTGGGCTAGTCACCTGCCTCAGTTACCAGATCTGAGAGAGAACAGTTAGAATGGCTTCATCAAAAATCTGAATAGCACAAAAAGAAGGACACCCCCAGTTCCACTGCTGATACTGAGAGTACGTGATACGGTACTCCTGCGCTATTATTGCCCGATTGCGGTCTGTGTTTAGAAACCTGCTGGAGAAGCACTCGAACCACATCACGCTGATGCTGAAGCTCATCAGCATTTGAACTCATCACCTGTTACTTCAATGTGCGAGGCACTGACATCACTTTTCAATGTTTAAACAATGTTAAGAAGTCACAAGGAAGTAGAATTCTAATTAAGGTAACACGTACTTAAAAATCATAAGAAAAGGAAGTAACAAAAGGCAGAAGTTCTCTGTTCAAAAACACTAGGCAAGAACAATGGCAGAAGAAACAGATATTTACCCCTACCCTTCTCAGCAGAACATAAGACACAGTAACGTGGCACTCGCTAAATCCTAAAAACTCCACCTGAAGTCATGTTTGGCTTCATGTATTTAAACAGGGAAGGATTTTGTATACGGATGGGTGAAATGATGAGTAAATTATCTAAATATAAAAATTATCAAATATTAACATCCTAGAAAAACTTCCTTTCTCCACGTTTTACAGAAGAGCACATTTAAAACAGAAACCTTTTTAACTCAGAGCACCTCCCACTTCAACCGGACAGACGGCGCCGTGGCCCTGGGGTAAGGAGCACCACTCTCACGAAGCCCTCTCCAGTGCAGTGATGTGAAAAGAAAACAGCATTCTAAAACTGTCTGCCAAGCCTCAGTAGATTCAATCATCTTTACCCCAAGCCCTTTCTAGGAATACTTTCACTTCTTTCATAATTAAAAAAAGAACTACCTCCTACCTGTTTTCTTGCCTGCGGTAGTCCTGCTGCCGTTCTCCTCTGATCATTGGCTTCACCATCCCGCGCTCCGCCGTGCTGGAGGCGGGCAGCACCCTGTCGCTGTCCAGCCTCGTGGTGCTCTAAGCCAGGGGAAGACACAGCATTTAACCAAGCAAACCAACCAGGCTTTCACTTACTCTTGCAGGTGAAGATCTGATGCAAGGCTGCCAGGCAGGGGAAGGCAGGAGAGGGATGCAGAGGAGGAGCATGGACAAGAAAAAGGCACAGCAATGCTGGGGATGCCATGTCCACAGCGGCATGCCCCCAAACACACTGATTCAAAAGAACAATAAAACACACAGCCACTTTGCTTTTCAAAGAGCTAGACGTGGGCTTTAAAACACAGGCAGAAGTGGTACATATACACAAGGGTTCCTCAACCAGTACAGTAAAAACAGGAACTACTCCAAAAAGTTCTAATTCAGGAGAGAGCTGAGAGAATATGTACAATATGAAAAGTCAGGGTCTTTGCTTTACTTGTTAAGAAAGGATTTAAAAATCTACTCATCATAGCTCAACACCCAATGAACAAGTGAGTACAGAAACTGGTTTATTTCTTGCCCTTCATCAACAGAGAAAAGGCACACTTATACGGCCCAATATGGTACATTTAAGCTCTTCCAAGCAGGGCACATCCCTAACCAACCCAAGGCAGACAAAACAGATAAGCAACCTATATTAGTAAGAAAATAATCAGAACACAATCAATAAAATCATACAAAGAAATTCACTGTAGCAAAAATTTTATGTCAAATTTCTCATTGTATTTGTTTATTTGTAGAAATTGACCTTGATAATAGAAATCATTCTTGTCTTACCAACCAGAGAGTAACTTTGGGCTGTATTTATCTTTACGGTTTTTCTTATTTTCCATAAATGAGGTTATCCAACCTACTTTGTAATAAATACTCTTTTTCATATGTTGTAAACATCTTACAATATTTTTATGTTACAGAACTGTAATGGTTGTGTAACATTTTGTTGTCTATTCACCAAAGTTCATTGAACTAATCCATGATTACATTGTTTAAAATGTTCACCAGGACAGGGTGTCCTGGCAACCATGTCTGTAAATATATATATTCACACACAATGATTACTTCCATAAAACACATTTATAGAAATAAAATGCTTGGTCAATGGATGGCAACAGACTACAAAAAACTGTTATAAATGAATAATAAGAAGGCAATGGATAAATTATGGTATGTTTATAAGCTAACATATTACAAAATAATTTTAGCCTGTTTTCAAATAAAATGATTACAAAAGCATAGCCCAAGGCCATAGGACAGAAAGGTGTGTGTGTGTGCGCATGGGGATATTTAATTATTTCAAAGTGTATTAATGAACACATGTACAACATGAAGAGCTCAGAAAAAGATCCATCAAAATGTTACCAATAGCCAACTATAAATTGAGGATGAATGATTTTCATTTCTGTACATTTTTTCTTAATTTACCAAGTTTTCTAACTATACACTTTCAGAAGTTTTTATTTAATTTGGAGAGAGAGCACAAGAGAGAGAGAGAGAGCGTGCGTGCGCAAGCATTCATGCATGGAGGGGAGGGGCAGAGGGAGAGGGAGAGAGAGAGAGAGAGAGAGAATCCTCAAGACGACACCCTGCTGAGCGTGGAGCCCGACGCGGGGCTCAATCCCATTACGCCGAGATCATGACAGGAGCTGAAATTAGAGTCTGACACCCAATCGACTGAGCCTCCCAGGCGCTCCTAAGAAACTCAACTTTTTATGAAGACAGTTACATTTGGTTCCAAGAGTATCTGCTCACGCAGTCGCTCAACAGCTCTTTACTGTGGCTCTTCAATGCCCTGAGCGCTTTCTGAGCACAAGCAGCACAGCAATGAACACGTCAAGTGAGGTCCCTGCTTGCACAGAGCTCACATTCCACAGTCGGCACAGGAGATGGCATACTATGGGCTGGCACAGAGAATTTAAAGTAAGGTGTAATTATGCCTGGATGCTCAAGGAAGTTTCTTCAAGGAGGTGATGTGTAAACTGAGGTCTCATTAGGAAGGAGCTAGCTGCATGAAAACCAGTGGGAAGAACATTCTAGGAAGAGCAAACATGCCCGAGCCTTCAGACGGGAAAGAGGTGTGTGGTCAGTGTGGCCGGCACAGGCTAAGCCGAGAGGAAAGGTGGGCCAGGTCAGAAGGGGCTGTGAAGGCAGGGCAGTAAGAGGATCGAATTCCTATTTTCAGAACACCAGCCCGGCCACTGGGAGAAGAGCGGCAAGCCAGGTCAGCAGAGGAAAGGTTGCTAACTAGAAGCCATGCAGATTCCCTGCCACGTGACACCTGGAGCCTCTGCCCGACCACTCACGGCGGCAACAGAGAAAGACAGGCACTTGTGGACTATTTCAGACGAAGAGCAAACGAAACTTGCCAACAAGTGAATGTAGAGGCTGAGGGAAGGGAAAGAACCCAGGATAAGCAGTGGTGGACTTCTGTGGGGACAACGCTATGGGTGAGGATATCATTTACTGAGACGGGGAAGGATCAGCGAAAGAAAGATGTTTGAGAAAGAAAATCAGTTCTGTTTTAGCTACATTAAACCTGAAATATGTCTTAGACATCACCACAGCTGTATCAAGCAAGCCTCTGGGGTCTGCAGAGGTCAGGGCCAAAGACACAGTCAAGAGTCATCAATATTTAGATGTACTTTAGCTCCCCGACTGCATAAGATCACCTCAGGAACACGTATACACAGGAGAGACGGAGCCCTAGGTCTAAAACCAACGTGAGAAGTTAAGTGGAGGAAGACATGGAGGAGGTACTACCAACAGATGAGACCCAGGAGGACTGAGCACCAAGGTGGGAGAAATCGGGAGGGCGACACCCTGAGGCTGAAATAAGAAAGTGCCCCAAGTAAACGGTGCTAACCTATCTTCAGGCCGACAGAGGGAAACGAGCACTGGACTGGGCAATCGGGATGTCAGCAGAGCGCAGGACAGACACAGTCCCTATGAAGGGGCAGGAGCCAAACGGGAGCCAAGGCAAGAAGAGGGAGTAAGAGGACGCGGAGCAGAGACTACCTCCTCCTCAAGCAGCAGAAAACTGGGCCAACAGCTGGAGGGCCCAGGACGGGTGTTTAAGAACAGGAGGTGCTACCGCCTGTCGGGGCTGAGGCTGCATGGCAGCCTCAGCCTGCCGCACCCGGAGCAGCTCCTTCCCTGAATCTGCGCAAAGCCTGTGTTTGGCTTTAACCAATGCAAGGTGAGGGAATCAAAGCTGGGCACCAGCTCTGGCCCAAGCTTAAGAAGGCCTGTCAATTCCATGATTCTGTGAGGCACCAGAACATCTGGCTGCCCTCGGGGAGAGATGGGCAAGAGGTCCCTGGGAGAGAACGTGAGATGACAGGGAGGGGGAGGCCCCACCAGGCCACCAACCAACCCACCAGAAGCTGAATGCAGCAACACAGGTCACCACCAGCAAGACCAGCAAATAAACAGCCCCAGTGAGTCCAAACCAAACTGCACAACTGTCAGTAAATAAAATGGGTGCTGTTTTACTTTAGTCCGCTAAGTTTCGGGGTGGTTTGTTACTGAGCGATAGATAACCAAAATGAGGACACAAATTCCTTGATCATGCAAGATAAGGGGTAACTGTGGAAGCAAAGTGCCTGAGAAGGTAAGCTGGCAGGTGGATGAGAGGGAAGTCCGTTTTCTTCAGAGGTCACCTGGCCAAGAAGAGCTACTTAGACAGAGGATGAGCCTAGGATGCACTGCTTGGAGGAGAAAGCACAGCTCCCCAGCCTTAGGCCTGTTATGTATCACTAAGAGGCAGCACAAGAGATTAGGACAACCCTCAGTTAGCGACCACTGTGAAGTCTGTCTTCACAACAGTTCTACGAGTATATTACCAATAACTCATCCATGGTGTCCTATGATGCCACACACAGTCCTATCAGGTCATGTAAATTACCTACCTTGCTTGTTGGTAACGCTGTTCCACTATGAACATCTCCTCCTAAATCAAAAGTTGTCTCTTGAACAATTCTTTTAGAATAAAAAAAAAAAGAAATACATAGAATTAATAACTCTCAAATGATAAGACATCCTTTTTCTCAATAATACAAAAGAAACAGCTAAATATCCCAATTCAAAGAGCCTCAAGAAATCGCTTTATTTTCAGCATATAAAGTTACAGAATAAAAAAGCTGTTAAAACTTTATGAACTTTTCGGGGCACCTGGGTGGCTCAGTCAGTTAAGCATCTGCCTTCAGCTTAGGTCATGATCCCAGGGTCCTGGGATGGAGCCCCAAGTTCGGTTTCCTGCTCAGCAGGCAGCCTGCTTCCCCCTCTCCCTCTGCCACACTCTCTCTCTCAAATAAATAAAATCTTAAAAGAACAAAAACTTTATGAACTTTTCTTACTGCTATATACTGAATACTCTCAGGATCATAATTTTTAAGACTATATTTTAATAATAATAAATTAAAAAGAACCATAAAAGAAAAAAGCAAGCTGCTTCATCACATAACAGCACATAAATGAAGTGCAGATGTCTATGATTTCATGAGCCCACTTGCTGGTCCAGGGAAGGCAACCGTGTTCATCGGAGGATAAGGCATGGGAGCGAAGCAGCCATCCTCCCAAAGCCAATCTGATGATTTTTTTAAAAGCTCATGGATACCACTACTTAGGCTATAATAAAGAAATGGGGAACTTTTGTATAATGATAGTAATCAGATCAAGAGTTACTCTATTTTAAACAATTTCTTAGAATATCTAAAAATACCAAACTTTTAAAACCATCATTATGAAAAATTCAGAATAAACAAAATCTCATTTTGAAGCGTCAATAACCTGAAGCAAGCTATGGTTCTTCAGCACAAATAAAGGTAAATACAATCCATTAATCCCAGACCAAGAGAGAGGCCCCAAAAAAGGGGGAAAAAGAACCCTAAAAACACCTGGAAACCAACAGGATGGGGTAAGTGCTTAAATTTCCTGGGCTTCTGCCCAAGGTAATCAAAAAGAATGACAATCTCTTTTGTTATCTGAAAGACAATAGTCTAGTTTCACAGCACTGTGGTAACTTTAAACTTCTATTTAAGCCCAATCTATAGAATGAAACCACAAGTGATGCAGAAATTCAAAACAATTTTTCAAATTAGAAAATAAGGTACAAATTCCTCCCCTACCGCATCACTATGAAAATAAAATCATCTTGTAATACAAAAACAGCATCATACTTTAAAATAGTAACTTGAGAAAGTAAAAGCTTGTACTAAAAGCTAAATACTTTGTCACCTACCCTCTGTCACCAAGATACTCACAAAACATAGAAAGTTCTCCTGGTTTCTCAAATAATGCAATATATGTTAAGAAAAAAAAAAAGAAGAAGAAGAAGAAGGTAGCGGGAGGGGAAGAATGAAGCGGGGGAAATCGGAGGGGTAGACGAACCATGAGAGACGATGGACTCTGAAAAACTAACAGGGTTCTAGAGGGAGGGGGGTGAGAGGATGGGTTAGCCTGGTGGTGGGTACTGAGGAGGGCACATTCTGCATGGAGCAATGGGTGTTATGCACAAACAATGAATCATGGAACACTTCATCTAAAACTAATGATGTAATGTATGGGGATTAACATAAGAATAAAAAATAAAAAAAATAAATTAAAAAAAAAGAAAGTTCTCCTGGTTTCTAATGGTTGGAATGGGAAATTCAGTTGAGTAACTTTGTCTCTGATAATGAAAGCAAGCAGAAGTACAACAGCTCACCTCCCTCCATCATCTATCAAAGCTACATACACACCGCACCAATCCCTAACTCCATGTTACTGATGTACGAAATACAGCCAAAGCCTTCTTGACTCCACACGTGATTATCATCCTAAAATAACAAATCTACTCAACACCATGCAAAGCTCTTTACTTTTTCCCCAAAAGCTAACAAGACTTTAAAGTTTAACATGGACCCATCTGTACTACATTCTGGATATGTAAATGATTACAAAATGACTTATTTATGACTTTAATGACATTATCTAAGTATAACCATTGAGGGTAAGAACCATGTCCTGGCCACGTCAGCCCAGAGGACGGTGACATGTGACACAGGTGCCCACGAATGCAGGCTGGGTGAATACATACTTGAAAAGGTGAATGAGTGCATCGAATGCGTCAAAAGAAGTCCCACCCTGACCATCAACATCAAATTGTGCTACTTTGCTAGTCCACCATTCACTAAGGATTTGAAGACACGGACCCTGAAATCTGCAATTAAGAACACATGCATCATGTATCCCTCAAGGAACCAGGAAAAAAAAGAACAAAGCCCAAGGTTACTAGAGGGAAAGAAATAAATAAAATAAAATCAGAAATTAAAAGAGAAGACTTTACAACTGGTACTGGACAACCTAGAAGAAATGGATGAAGTCCTAGAAACATACAAAGTACCAAGACTGAGTCATGATGAGACAGAGAATCTGAACAGATAGATTACTAGCAAGGAGATCGAATCATTAATCAAAAATCACCCAACAAACAAAAGTCTTGGACCAGATGGCTTTACTGGTGAATTCCACCAAATGTTCAAAGCAAAATGAATACCAATCCTTCTCAAACTCTCCAAAATCTAGAAGAGGAGGGAACTCTTTCAAACTAATTTTACAAGACCAGCATTACCCTGATACCAAAACCAGACAAGGGCACAAGAAAAGAGAATTACAGGCCAATATCCCTAATGAACAGAGATCCAAAAACCTTGTACAAAATATTAGCAAACTGAATTCAACATTAAATTAAAGGGATCACACACCAAGATCAAGTGGGACTTATTCCAGGGATGCGAGGATGTTCAACATCCACACATAGGTCAGTGTGGTCCACCATATTAACAAAATAAAGGATAAAGATCACATGATCAACTCAACAGATGCAGAAAAAGCATTTGACAAAATTTAATACCCGTTTACAATAAGAACTCTCAACAAAGAGGGTATAGAGAGAATGTACTTCAATATAATAAAGGCCATTTATGACATGGCCACAGCCACATCATACTCAATGATGAAGACCTGAAGGCTTTTCCTCTAAGATCAGGAGCAAGACAACGATGCCCACTCTCACCACTTTGATTCAACACAGTATTGGAAGTCCTAGCCAGAGCAATTAGGCAAGAAAAAGAAATTAGAGGCATCTAAACAGAAATAAATCTGTCACTATTTGCAGATTACATGGTTATTACCTATAGGAAACCCTAAAGACTCCCATCAAAAATATATTAGTTATATATTTATACATACTTACTTACATTTACATACATATAACCTATACAAATATACTTGCATATTTATATTTGTTTATATATATAACTAATGTATATTAGCTATATACATATATAAAATGGAATGTTATTCAGCCATGAGAAAGAAGGGAAGTTTGCCATTTGCACAATATGGATGGACCTGGAGAGCACTGTGCTCAGGGAAATAAGCCAGACAGAGAAAGACAAATACTGTATTATCTCACTCACGTGTGGAATCTAAAACAAAACAAAAAAACCTCAGCTCATAGACACAAAGAACAGACTGGTAGTTGCCAAAGGCAGGGGTGGCGGGTGGGGAAAGTGGGTCAAAAACTTCCAGTTATAAATGTAAGTCACAGGGATGTGATGTATGGTATGGAAACTATAGTTACTAATACTGTACTGCGTATCTGAAGGTTGGTAAGAAAGTTAATCTTACAACTTCTCATCACTAGAAAAAAAAAAGTACCCATGTATGGTGATGGATGGTAACTGGACTTATTGTGGTGATCATTTAGCAAAAATATAAATACTGAATCATTATGCTTTGCACCTGAAACTAACACATGTCAATTATACCTCAATAAAAAAACATACATACACACATCTGTGAAAAAAAAAAAAAAAAAACATGGATTATCTACCTAGACATATGTATAATAGTTTGACGACAGAACAAAATTAGTGTTTATAAAAAAAATGAAAGTTCTTTCTAATTTATGGATGTACTGGTATATTCAACCACTGAGCAGTTTTCACTAGGTTTGTAAGGAAAAGATGTAATAATAAACATAAAATTTCATAGCACATTCCCATCAAAGAAACCTAGGCCATGTTCTTAGTATGATTCTGCTTTGGCCAGAGATAAGATGAAAACAGACACCGTGGACAGGCCTCCAAAGCAGGAGCCATTATGGCAAAAACAAATGGGGAGGGACCTCACATACAGAAAACCAGAAAACCCTGCCGGGCAAAACTCAAGGACTGTAGTGATGGGACAGGGACAGTCTTATCACTACAACTGCAACACATACCATCAAAGTAAGTATGATCTACCACTCAGGAATGAAGTATGATTGGGAAAAACTGCAGGTACTGCTTGAAAAACAATGTGCAACAGGCCAGAAAAAACCATTCCACACGATGATTTCTTTGGCCAAACATCCTACAGGTAAGTGGCAAGTAAGACTCTCAGACAGGCAGACCTCAGACACTCACCCTGTCTGGTGCCGAAAGAAAGATGCAGGCCTGAAGAAGAACGGAGGATTAGAATGGAAACCATCTGAACTGTTGGCTGAAACAAAAGGGCCACACAGAGGTCACGACGAGGGGCAGGAAATGCGGACGTGGCTCATAAGTAAATACTACCTTAAAAAGGGAATATAAAACAAATGGTCCTCCAAGACACAAAACGGAAGGATGAGTTTAGATACACATTCCGTTTAAAGCTGGAAGACTATTCAGGCAGAAATGGGCTTTCTTGAGAAGTCAAGGCCCACATTGGTTTTCCTTGGGAACCGAGGGACGGGTCCTTGGCTGAAACGTGGAGCTGGAGGTGAGCAGCTGGGAACAGAAGGTCTCACCTCATGACATTTCCCACGTCCCATGTGCCTAGAGGAACATTTATGATGATCCACAAAGTGTCATCTTGGGAAAGATACTAAGTCTTACTTGTACTAGCTGCCTTTTATCCCTTTTCTGGGCCAGGATTCAAGATGGATACAGAATGACCTAATAACCCTCCAGGAAAGATTGCAGTTGAGTTTACAATGCCGAGAAACTGGCAAAAGACCGACACGAAGAAACTAACAATTCGCACCTGCCCGAGAGTTATCAACTCTGGGTGGCTAAGCAAAGGTAGGTCACAGAACAGAATAACGGGACAGGCAGCAGGGAGAAGACCACCCACACGCTCTGTACACGGTGCTGTTGGGGCAGAGAGCTGCTCTGTACTCAGTGGACTCTCTGGCTGCCTTCCACAGCGTGTGGGAAGGGCCGTGGCAACGACTGTCCCAAGACCCATGCCCTAGCAGCCTGCGAGCTGGATGACAAAGGGGCTAAACAGCGTATTCTTTTAAAAAATTACCATTACCAAAAAGGAAGTCTTACTCCCTCCCCTGTCAAGCAGTTTAATTAGATGATCAGTAAGGATTTGTGTTCTCTGGTAATAGGCCCACACTGCAAGTCCTCAGAAAGGCACTAGGTGGAGCTAAACTATTTTTAATTCCTTAAAGAGTTCCTCGGGTGTTTCATTACTCCTAACCCTAACTAATTTAAAAACCAGCCCACAACTTCAATTTTACAATAAAGCCAAGACCCTTTTCTTCTTCTTTCCTCTGCAACCAACCCAAATCAACAAGAACAACAAACCGTACTTTGAATTTTAAAAATGAAACCACCTTTCATGTATGCCGAATTCAGATTCCTTTACACATAAATCAAACCACCCTAAACTCTTAAAGCTGAGGGACAGCAATTACCCAGGCTTGTGTCTGGGACCCTTGGCGGTCAGGCCTGCATCCACAGATCTCTTTGCCAGAGCGTGGTCCTGGCTCGGGTCCACAAACTTGAACACGTGTGACGTCCCAAACTGCACTTTCATCCCACTCTGCAGCATGGTTGTCTCTGAGATGCGCAGTCCCTCCACGTAAGTCTCAGCCTCCATGCTTCTCGGCGTGACAGTGACAACTCCATCCATGTTTGTGAGGTCACAGTGATGGGGCTGAATTCCTGATCCAAACAGCTAAAATAAAATCAAAGAAACTTCCATCACAAAGGACATGGTATTTAAAAACAGAATTTTTGGGGCGCCTGGGTGGCTCAGTTGGTTAAGTGGCTGACTCTTGATCTCAGCTCAGGTCTTGATCTCAAGGTCATGAGTTCAAGCCCCACACTGGGCTCCACGCCCAGCATGGAACCTACTTAAAAACAAAAACCCAGCATTTTAAAACCATGAGTTCCTCTTTTATGATAAATATAATAAAATAAACTAGATTTTTGGTGCTTTTTAAGTAGAACCCTCCTCCCACAGTATAAAAGTAAATAAACACTGTCAAAATAGTCTCAGAATTACTGAACACATTATGTTTAGCATCAAGTAACTTGCTTTAAGACACACTAGAAATCTGAATTGAGAAGCACACGGTCATCTTAAACATTAGATAACTAAGCATAAATCTGTACAGATGATTAGGATTACAAATTCTATTTATCTGTTTTACTATTGTGCTGAAGGAAGGGATGTCAGAACTGAAAATGACACTAAATAACCCGACCCATCATTTGCAACTGGGAGATGACAGCACAGAGAAAGGGCGGTCTGCTGGAGGTCGGCTGAGTTCAGTCAGGTAAGGAACCCTGGCCTTCCTCATTTAAAGAACACGCTATGCTGTTTTCACTGAGTACCTGAGTACCATATCTGGCTAACATCATTAACTACAGCCGATGGAACGCCCACTGCTATGGGCATCAGACCCAGAGGCAGGCTACCTCCCCCGATCCTGAAAAAGACCCACAAAGTTATCACCACCTTCTGGAGAAAAGCCAACAGTCTCGGAGGAACTCCACGACCAGGTCAAGTTTCCAGAGGTGGGGAGTGGACATAATGTCACAGTCTGCTCTGGTCGTGCTGAGGCAAAGGAAAGTGACCCAGAGCACACAGTTATAAAACAATAAAGTCCCTCATTTGTGTCCATTCCTGTATCTGCTGCCGTGCGCAGGCCCTGTACCATGTGCCTCTTCCTACCCCAATGTAAGGACAGATGGTGCTAGAGCCGTGGCTCGCCTGCACACCTGGATGGAGTTCTCATCGAACTTTTCTGTCCCAACCTCAGTGACACTCAACTGAAGGCGGTAAAGCTTGGGCTTATCTCTGGAATCTGAGCCATCTGCGGGAGAGAAGAACAAAGCTTCATTTGCCAAGTCTGATGTTCTTGTCATGTTATTTCAAACAAGCCAACAAAGCAAGCGAACAAAAGGTTATCTTAGAAATGAAATAACAGTTCTCAATTCTCAGCGTTTCATTTCAAAGAACTCTCCATATTTAAATCATGCAATTTAATTAACTGGATATAGAAAATTTAAATTAAGACATAGACACATTAGCTTCTGTTTAATCTTATTTAAGGTGTTAACATCATCATCATCTATAACCAACATTTTATATCACATAAAAAGCAACTTCTCCACCATGCAGCCTGGATTTTTGTGACTGATTCTGAAGAGCAATTCTATGAGGCAGATACACGGACCTTCCCTTCAGAGCAGACTGTTCTCCCAGCAAACGTGCCACCTGTAGAGTATCCGGCACCGTAGGGGCTGACGGGGTGCAGCGGAATCACAGACGGGGGTTTTCAATGTACAATCTCATAGCTCATCCAGACCTTCAGACCCAAATCTCTGGGGATGAGGCCCACACCCATGCCTTCCAAATAATCTCAAGTGATTCCAATGCCCATTCCCGACAGTAAGTTCCAGTAAGAACTACCATTAAAAGTGCTTAGCTTTTTCATCTAAAACTAATGATGTAATGTATGGGGATTAACATAAGAATAAAAAAAATATATATA